CAGCTCTTTGCCATTTCTCTGTTTTTTCTGCATATTAGGTTTCTTCATATAATCGGACAGCATATTCAAGAGGTCCATCAAGAGCCATTAAAACTATAAGTATCTTCAACAAGACTATCCACCACAAACTCCATAAAGTAACAATTATCATCAAATGCAATTAAGCAACACTAGGAAAGAAAGCTATAGGATTAGAAACCACGTTGCTCCAAATCATCATATAGCTCTATAAATAGTGAATGCCTGAATGGTAAGTACATATAAAAACAACCGTGCTAATCAGATCAAGAATGATCGGACAATTCCTGTTGGGCCAGCTGCAGATTCTCCACCAAGCTCTGCCACGGCCAAGCCTGGGTCCCACTGCTCCTTGGAGGCTCTCTTCTGTCTTCGCGTCTCTCTCCATCACTTGAGAGAAATCAATACGGCGGATCATGTTGAGCCGCTTTCCTCATAGCCGATGTCTCTGCGTTGCAGATGAAAAAATTATAAACAAAGTTTTTTTAAAGCCGAAGGGAAAAAGGAAGAAATTCGATTCGCACGGAGGGAATTGTTCGTTTCCGGCCTCGTCCTATGGCTTCAGGCGCTTTCGGGAGTTTGTCAAGATCGATCTCATGTTCCCGTCCATGGCTCTGCGCTCGATCAGGGAGGCAATACCGTAACCCTAGTGTAGAGCAGCTCTACAGCGCTCGAGTATCGCCTGGAAGCTGGAAGTACCACGATGCACAGTTATTTTAGGTGTGGCTCAGCTAGCCAAGTAGCCCAGCACATCACTTCCCTATTTCAAAATAATTTAAATATATTTTTAAAATAATTAGTGTAACTACCTTATAAAAATTAATAAAAAATATGATAAAATTATATTTAATTTTACTTTTAGATTCATTTCATATTTGTTTATGTCTCCAAGTAAGATTTGTTTGGGATCTTTCTTATTGTTTCTTAAATAATTTTTCAATACAACATTTTTTCTAAAAAAACTGCTTTAAAAGTTGTCCCAAACAAAATTAAGGCAACAAAGTCTTATTATAATGAAATTGTTAAAAACAATTTTAAAAATACATTTTTTTAAAGAATAAATCATATACAATTAATTCAAAAATTAATATGCATGAGCAATATATAATTATAAGGGTGAGCTTAAATAAAAATTCATTTACAAAATATTGCTCGATTAATATGACCTACGAGTTAGCTTGCGAAAATTTAATTTGAAGCGCTTTATAATATATATAATAGATTGAATATTATTGTTATTTTGTTTTCTTAGAACAAAAATTTTAAATTTTGTTCCGAAAAAATTATTCTCTTGCATTTATAGACTTTCATGAAAGTCTAATTGCATGAAATTGATTAAAATAGGTTCGAATTTTGAACGATTCGAAGTTCATTTGAATGTCATTTGATATGTTTAACCACATTCTCGCATTCTAAAAAATTTTGTTTCTCTAAACTATTCCTTTGCATGTCATCAGTCTTTGCGATGTCTTCCCTATGGCTTCCTCTTATTTTTCAGACAATGACAATCCTATAATGTTTTCTTATGAACTCTTCTTCTTTGCACGGTACTGCCCATGATGCTTCCCTGTGTGAGTTCCACACATATGTTGTATTTCATTGAAAGATAGAAAAATCATGTCAATTATTCGCACTATGTTAATAGAGAATTCTAATTAAGACTAATCGTTAGAAAGGTATTAAGTTTTATTTAGTGCATCAAGTAGGACTTTGATTTAGGATTGAATGAAATTTACTATCATTTTGCTTAAAGCAAAGGGTGGCAGAATGATAATGATCAATCAGTATCTTTTAGTTATGTGATTTTGATTGTAATTATCATTGTTTTCTTAGTAAGTAAAGCAGTCAATCCAACTTGATTGAATGATCTTTATCGACAACTATGAGTTGGCATTGTCAAAGGATATTGTATACTTAGGGTGGATATATATTTAAGGCACATTTAAGTGAAACTTTAGTTAATGGATGGCTTTATGCCATACCAAGTGTATCATGTAATTCACCACTCAAGATATTAGTGTCTTTGGAGAACTTAATGTATCAAGTATAAAAATGAGTTGTGACTAATTACTGAGTTTCTTTAAATTTAAATAATCAAAATTCACTTGATTTTTTTTTTTTGCAAAAAAAAAAAAAACTTTTTTTATATTATTATCAGAATATAGGCTTGAAGTAATTTATTTTTGACATTCGATATCATTTTTTTAAATAATGTAATCTCTAGTTGAGATTGCAATCAACATGATTATCAACGGTGGTGCCTATTTGAAATTTTTATTGTCAAATTGAGGTTTGATTTGTTATCATGAACCCCTTCGATACAATGGTGTAAGTGATTGCGCCATCATAAGAGTTTTTGTAATATTAAATTGTGCTGAAGCTTCTTAATGCCATCTACTTGTCATAGAAGGTCAGGTTTAATATATGAAGTACAATAATGCCTAGAGAGTCAGTATATTAAAATGAATTTTTCTTTGTAGAGGCTTCCTAGGCTATGTAGCACAAATAAAAGATTTTCATCATTTACAATTTTATGCTCATTTTTTAATGTACTTAATTAAAAAAAAATGGTTCTTTTATAAATATGTTTGAATTTATTGTTTAAGTATCCTGTAGGGGTTTTAAGTCTTATTATCATAATTTTTTTTATAAAAAAGGAGATCAAATTTTGAAATATAGGACATATAGAACTGCTATATAGCCATAGGGCCAGCTTGAGAATATCAACAATGTATTGCAACTTTGATTTTAACACAAACGCGTTGCTACGCAAAATTCATTTATAAGGCTTAATATATGAATAAACAAAGTATAATCCTGAACAATTTAAGTTATCTCACTCTGCCTCAAATTCAGATCATTTATGAGTAAAAATGAATAAATGTTGAGATGCACATGTAATAATTCTAACGTGTACATCAACAAGCATCACAATCCTTTCAGCGGCATATTATCTAAAAACTTGCTCGTATGTACCTAATGAATAGTTAGAATCATAATAGAAGTCAAACAATATTTCAACATCTAAAATAAAACTCTCCTCATAGTTTGGAGTTCATATGAGAGTTACTGACTTCTGAGTCCACTCTCATCAATGATAAAGAAATTTGATAAAACCCCTAGCAAAATTTTTATAATAACCTACCGAGCCAACAAACTAATGCACCTCAAAAACTATAGTAAATCTTAGCTAATCAGAGAGCATGAACTTCTAGGAATCCACTTAAATACATGCCCTGCTCAGTGCTACTACATGCCCCAAGATAAAATATTATTAAACTAGAATTCCACTTCGAAAACTTAGAAAATAATTGATGTTATCTCAAAATCTTAAAGCATTTCTCAAGTGTGTTGCATGCTCATCTTCAGATATGGAATAATTAGAATATCATCTATAAAGACTATAAAAAATTGCATATGGGGATTGCACGACTGTGGGGGAGGGCTAGTGCATGAAAGTGCGAGCGAGCACGGGATCTGGTGCGGCCGTGTGATGCAGCCATAATCAAATTTGAAAGTTTTTTTTTTTAAATCTTTTGATATACAATAACCAATGCTACCTAATTTATTTTATTAATATAAATATCAACATAAATAAAACTACTGATCAAAATATTAATATATATACATTTGTATTCATTTCCCTAAAAATCATGTACACTACTCAAGAATGGATTGTGGAGCATTTGTTATAGTGGGAAGCTGGAGTAGCAAAGCGATCGACTAAGGGAAAAGGAGATATTTGCTTGTGCAGCTCAAGAAAGACTATAGGTAAGAAAGGGTAGAGGTTGGACAATGAGATTCTTTATTTATATATGATTGGACATGATAGAATATGAATACATTCAACACTACTAATGCAGAGGGCACAAAAGTCTGACTTTTAGTGATTTTAATGGAGATTTAAAATAATTGATATATTTTTTTATAAATTTCACATTGTAATTGCATTAAATAAATTTTATGTTTTGCCTTCATCATGCAATAATATCAGGCATATGAGTATTTATCATTGCATCTTTTTGAAGTTTTGGATGCGACAATGCATTATGGTTGTGAACCTATTGTGATTTCAATTTTGATCAAGATTTTCCAATCTTGATAATGACATAAATTAAAATATTTAAAATAGATCAAATCTAATTATTTTTAAATACATAAAAAATAAACTAGAGTGTTGATTTTAAATAATTAAAAATTTTCAATATATTTTTTATTTCAGGTCAAATATAAATTTTTTCAAATTTCTTATAATATTTTATATTTCTCTTCAAATCAAACAATTCATGACATTTAGAATTAGGGGCTATTTGACAACAAGCAAGATTTAGTAAATCCTGTAGATTCAGATTTAATAAATTTTGGGTTTGTTAAATCCTAAAAATTATTTGGCAAGATAGTTTTTAAATCCTCTGAAATCATTTGACAATGTAATACAGGATTTAAGCTGATTGATTTTTTAAAAAAAAATTTAACTTAATGTAATTTGAATTTAATTTACATGTTAAGTTTGAGTTACTCATTAATTTGAATTTTAATTACCATCAATAAGTTATAATGACAAAAAATATAATTAGAAGCTAGTTTAATTATCAAATAATTTAACTAACATTTTAATTACTAATTATAAAACTAAACTAATAAATATAAATTTTTTATTTGAATGTTAATATATGTTAATATAATAAATATTTGACTCTAATTATATTCATAATTATTTAATTAACTAGTTAATTATTTTTTAAATAAATAATTATTTAACTAATACTCCTATTAATGAAATATTTAAATGTTATTGATTAATTTTAATTATTAAATATACTATTAATTATATCATTAATCACATAAATATTTTAATACTCATTAATTATTTAATTATTATTTATGCTATTAAATATTATGTAATCTTTATTTAAATTCAATTAATTAATTAGTTCCTATGATATATATATACTCTTCTAATCTTCTGGCAATGCCTGCCTACCACAAGAGACCTATTTCAAAAATATTTTGCTCCGTTTTTCTATAGCCGTAGGCCTAGGGTTTGCTTTTCCTCTTCTGCAAATTGTGCGTAACTGTTCGACCACGCCTGCTTCGCGTGAGAGGTGGGAGTTTGGAACGGCTCGCTAAAAGTCTCTTCGCCTTCTCCGTCTCTCCTCCTCCTCCTTCGACGACGTTCCGGATCGGAAGTCAGGACAGCTCGCTGTTCTTCTGTTGGGTTCGAAGTAACGACGGCGATGGGAGGGAGCTCGCTCGTCGTTGCGAAGGTAACCATTTCCTCCCTTTGGCGCGCTTCTTCAGCCAAATCACGTTAATCCGCCGAACAACCTGATTTAATAAATCCGTGATTTACCGCAAAAAGGTGGTAACGGCGGATTTATTCTGCCTTGAGATTTATGCCGAGTAGCGTAAACCCTCTTGCCAAACAGCGCCTTAGGGCTTTCCACAACTCAAACTTTAAGCAAGGCGCGTGCGACATCTAGCGAGCGAGCGAGAGAGAAGGACAGTTACGGCGAAATAGGTAGTGATCGCGAGACTGGTGAGAGCTGGGAACTGTGCAATTCGAAGAGGGAGGGTCGGCGACTGGAAGAATCGGTGAGAAGAGATCAAGAGCTGCGAGGGCTTCTTCGTCCTCATTTTGTAATCTTGCTTTGGCAAAGGTGAATCTTAACATAGTTTTTTACCTTTATTTTCTATGAAGATTGTAAGGAGGTATATGGTTAGGGTTTGTTTGTGAAATGAAGAAAGGGTTGTAACCGTGTCTTCCTTTATATTCTACTGTGTTGAGATGAACCCTCAAACCCTAGTTTTCCTATAAGGTGTTGGTTTAATCATTGATGTTTATTCGTTCGGGGATTATGCTTGGAGGATGAAATCTTAAATCCTAGCCTTTCTTAAACTAATGATCTTAGCATGTTAAGGTGTTAAAAACATATCCATGCATCTACTTCCATGGCTAGAGATGATATTATATATCTACATAATTTGAAATAGGGATTCTATTTCCTTAATCAGTTTATAGATGAGATTTTGTAAGTATCAATTAGGGGCATGTGAAAGCATGTCTTGCATTTCATAAGAGGAGGTTCTAGTTGATGATGCCTTATATGGTGAGTTTGATTAGAGTGAGAGTTTGATGTATGAACTTAATTTACAGATTTTGTACTTTTGAAGTCAACCAATTTTAAGAGGGATTTCATGGGTTTGCATATCAACTACTAGTGATGGCACTGCACTTGGTCTGTTGCTTCAATTAGTACTGTGAATTTTGAAGCCTTAGTGGATAGTGGTTGTTCATCAACCTATATGCTATGCTTTTGATACTTAATTAGATACTGGTGCGTAAAAGATTAAGGATTTCATCAAGATTGGTGAGTTCCACATAATTTGATAAGAAGGGGGTTGACTATGTTAATATTCTATATATAGAAGTTAGGTTGGCCCTCTCTATGAGGTAGAGCTAGGTTATTAGGTTACAACATGGAGTCAACCAGCGACTTATGGTTGGTATTTGATTTGTAGTCATTGTGCAACTCAATTGATGAATAAATATCATGGGTATGCAACCTAAAGTTGGTAGTTGACTAGGGCCGGTGAGAGGCTATGGTGCATAGATGATTCAGGTCGAAGAACATTTTGGAACTTGTCGGCAATTCATGTTGATGGACCATTAGAGGTTACGAGTGACTTGGATTATGCTATAAATTAGAGTTGGCACATGACATGGAGTTGTTGGGCCACTTAAACAAAATGCAACTAGTTAGTAGGTGACCTGCATCAGCTTGTGACTTTCAGTCAGTGTGTGATTACAATTGTCATGATACTTGGAGTTAGATTGTAATAAGGGTGGGCAATGTGCAACCATTGGCATTTATGACTTCCTTGCTTTGAGATAAAGGGGAATAGTCATAGTGACATGCAATGAAAATCAACTAATGAGGGATGTTGAGCAACGATAAACATTGGGAGTTACTGATAGTCTTGTTACATAGGGGCATCAAATGATGGGGTGTTAAGTTATTGTGGTTATCAGATTGCATTGGATGATAAATGCCTACGAACATTTGTTGAGAGCGAATGTTAGGTGACTTAAATTATCAATTGATTGAAGGATAATATTTGACAAACAAGAGTAACTAATGAAAAGCGGGTAATGAGTGAAAGTAAGCATTGAAAGAAGTCTAAAGATGGTAAGACTTCAAGTGATGGTAGACATTGGTCAACAATGAGTGACTAATGGATGGCAAGTAAGCAATGGATGACTTATACCAGATGATGTCGGGCACTCAACACTAGACTTTGGGTGAAGATAAACATTGGTAACATATGTACTACTAATGGACGGTGAGTTAATGATAGATGCACGTGACAATAGACAACAACAAATGATAGGAAACTAATGGATGGCATGTGACCGACAATTGATTTTAAGCAATTTATTATGCAAGGAGGATTATGAAACACCTGTATGGTCGAATCTTTTTTTTTTGTCAATTCAAAATTTTACCTATTAAAAATTAAGATAACCATTGTTTTTTTATATATTTTTAGAGGGGGTATTCTTGTATTTATTCAAAGTTATATTGAAATATTCTCTATTTTATCAACATTCAATTTGTTACATAGTGCACTCCCTTTCTTAGAACTAGACTAATTGATCTTGCCTGTTGGCTGACTTGACTGACTTGCTATGTTGCACTGATACACCTATTTTATGAAGGCGTGCTATATCCGATACACCAATTCACGGATACGCCTCCGATACTCCACCGATACGTGTCGGATACGCCAAAGCCGTATCCAATTAAATTACTATTTAATTTCAAAAGGACACACGTATCCGATACGCGTGTCCGTTGAAAAATAAAAAGAAATCCGAAGAAAAAAGACGTTTTGTATTTACTTCCGCGGTTGCGAGCAAGATTCTCTCATTTCTGAGATGGATTTGAGTCTCTTGATGATATGAAAATATTAAAAATTACTAATCTTTCACTTGATGAGCTTGAATTAGAACCTATGATATTTATTAAAGATGATATAGAAGTTCAAAGAAAAACCAATGAAGAAGATAATTATATCATTCATTCTATTGAATAGTTGAAACTCCATGTGCTAGATAATTTATGTTTATGCTTTTGTTGTTGTACTAGACATTTAATGTTTACTTATATTTTGATATTATAAGCTACAAGGCTATAAATGATGTTGTTGTTATTTTTTTTGTTCAAATATTATGCTTTGATTGATTTCTTAATTTTTATGTATGATTTTAAATTATATTTCCGTGTCCGCGCCATACCCGTATCCTGTATTTTTAAGAATTGACGTATCCCGTATCTGTATCATGTCATATCCGTGTCGCCGTATCCGTATCGGTGCAACATAGCTGACTTGTTTGATGATGTTGGTTTGGTGGTGGTGTGATCGCGGTGGTTATTTGTGAATTCCCCGACCAATTAATAGAATGTACCACATAGAAGCACTTAACGCCATAAGTCTAATAGAGTTGGCATTCAAATTCTGATGGTTGGCTTATCTTGTACATTTTGAGGAACTTTAAGTCTTCAAATTGTAGCCAGTGAAGAATGCTAATGATATACCATGATTTTGATGATATACCATTAGGGTTTCTTTGGGACTGTTATAGCGTTTTATAAAGTTGGTTGTGAATTTACCGTGGATAAATCAACTTCACTACTATGATTGCAAAAAAATAGATTTTCACCACAAAAAATTCTTAAAAACAGTGAGAAAGTAGCAATAAAGCAGTAGCCAAACGAAATTGTGGTTGTTGTCTGAAAAGCAAAGCAGTCAGGAAGCTTTCCCAAATAGCCCTAAGTCTTTGAGAGCTATTCTATGAGATCTACGCAATAACATTGAAGATTTACAAATCAAAGTTTTGTAGAAGCTGCAATAATTCTTGAATGATGTGTTGATCTAATTTGGGGTTGTTGTAAATTGATAATGATATGCTTATATGTTTGTTCTATCGAGAATAATCCAACACGACAATTGACCCACAAATTAGAGACATTTAGAAGTCATTGGAATTATGAGAAGTTTAGATCTACCTGGAGCACCTCTTTGTGATTTGACATTGTGGAATGATTGCTCGTAGCAAGAGCTTATTGAGGGTCAGTCCTGGGATCTATTGACTGAACATCATAGTGGTGATGGTGCTATTCATAAGTGCTAACCTCTTGTATGCTACAAAGGAGGAAAATAAATGAGGTTTTAACCAATTTGTCATTCTCGATTATATTTGGCTCCAAACATTTTTTTTGGGACAATTTTGTATCATTGGAATAATCTCAATTAGACAATTATTTCAATTGTAGATTTTTATCGTTTGACTCCCTAGATAAAATTTGAAACCATAATTTGTGGTTGACTCAACCTTTTTGAGTTGTTTCAAATGCCCTAAATGCGCGCTTTGTGACAAAATACTATTTGATAATATGTGAAATTGTGAATTTTTATGGCCCAATAAGGTTTATTTTGTTGGATGTTATTAAACAAAAAGATAATAGTTAAAATGACATTGTGTGTTGGCCCATCAGGATGGTGATGATGCCATCTCGTCCATATATTTGAACCTCTTCTGTGTGATGAAGGAGAAGGGAGTCTGAACAAATTCACAATCCAATTTGATTATTGCAGACCCCATATATGTTTTTATATAGGCAATTTTGGCATCGTCAAAGTCATTTTAAAAAGACAATCAATTTAACTGTATATTTGTATCTCATGGCCCCTAAATAAATTTTGAAGCTATAATTTGTAGTTTACTCAATTTTCGAGTTAATTTAAACACCTTGGAATATGTGGTATATGACAAAACAACTATATTATCATATAGGAGTTTTTGTGGCCCCAATAAGTTTTATTTAATTAGATGTTATTAAACGAAAATATAGTTTTTAAAATAATGTTTGCTACTCAAGTTAAAGTAGTCTAGACAACTATGAAATTAGTTGCTATTCAGATTTTGGCTATGATGGGGGTAGTATTTTAGCACATTTGTTTGGATTCCTGTTTCTCTCTCTGTTGAAGCTTTCTTCACTTCATCCCATATAATCACAACTTTCTTTTTAGTCCATTTGTAAAATGTTAAACCCTTAATTTTTAAGACGCCTCTATCTTATGAGCTGCTCTTTGTTTTCCTCTTTCACAGAACCCTTTAATATATATGTTTTGATCCATGATATAAACATTTGGATTTGTGGTGTTGGAGATGCCTCATACCATCCACACCTGTCCTGTAGGCTTATCCTCATAATCGATATAAGGAGTACTCTGACTAAATCTTTCCATAGCTAGAATTAGTCCAAGGCGGCATCTCATAGAACATAAATGATAGCGACGCCTGTGAATGACTCGGTCAGTCCATCACTGATCTGTTGGTAGATTTTGAATATTTGACGCCTTATCTGTTAGTTTTCTTTTTAACCACTGAGATCTATAGATGGATTTTGAATTAGCTTTCTTATAATTTTCATTAAAGGAAAAAATACTGAAGCTATCCTTGAATGTAAACCTATAATCTCTATACGTACTAAAACTCTATGTTTAGATCTTCAATAGTCTCTCAATATTTTCTGCCAGTTCTGTAAAGTTATCAGTTAACTAAATTCATAGTTTGGATAATTATACCAGACACTGAAATTTTGAATGTCCAAAGTTAAGTGAAAATTTAAGATTTTGATTGCAAAATATCATTGCAGCAGCTGACATCAACCTACGAATTTTTTTATGTTTTAGTTTGGTGGGAGGGTTCTACTTCTGATGCAGCCATATTAATGAGTGCAGTGCGGAGACCCAATGAGTTTTAGGGTCCTCAAGGAAAAATTATTTTGTTGATGTTTCGCACTCCAAAAAGCTTGATTTCATTGCTTCTTTTTGGATTACAGGACAATCATCTAAGTAAATTTGATTTTATTGCTACTTATCAAGGCTGATGGCATTTTCCGAGTGGCCCGATAGCTTCTTCCAATTCTGGGGTTTACACTCACTTTGTTTCCACTAGCAGATCATGTTTTAGCATTGTTCAGTACAAAAGGGTATAATGCCAGATCCTTGGCTCCCTCACGTCCACGCCCCTTTGAAACTCTAACCCCTCAACCGTCTTGCCCCCCTTTCCATTGTATACTGCTCTTTTGGTGGCAATTGCTTGAGATCGGTAAGCTAGGCGTGTTCTAGATATCCCACTCTGTCTATTTTCTATGTTGAACATATTTGTTTTTTTCTAATATTTTAGCTCTTTTTTCCTTTTTCTCCATTAGTGATTTTTCTGCCTTTATTCTTCTACATCAGCCTCTTATTTGCCGTGATATTTTTGGATATATCTTTCCTTTGATCTGCTCTTAGTTTCGTAATTTTGCTCAGTTTGGAGAATGAGATGCATGGATGATATTATTTGGAACATGCGAGAGAGCACTATGTGGTGGTTTTTCATCCCCTGATTTGTTTTATTGTTTTCTCACCTAAGTTGATTTCTGGAGAAAAGAGTGGTATTTTTCTCAATTGCTGTCATGTGGTCTATAGTCGGATTTGTCTGCTATTTTATTGCTTGTTTGAATGCACTTTGCTGGTTTTGTTGCTTGCTAACAGTGCTATATGCATCGAGCCGCTTCATGTGTTCTTTTGATTTGGAAGCCAACGCTGTAGAACATTTAGTTCATTTTCTCTTTATATGTTTTGAAAAAGCTGTTGAACCTGATGATATTCCAATAGAGATGTGGAAATGCTTAGGAGATGAAGGAATTTCTTGTCTTACTAAACTTATTAATATTGTTTTGAAGACAAAAAAGATGCAAGATCAGTGAAGAATGAGTGTGTTAATTCCTATTTTTAAGAATAAAGGTGATGCACAAGATTGTGCGAATTGTAGAGGAATTAAGTTAATGTGTCATACTTTAATACTATAGGAGCGAATGGAGCGTAGGTTGCGGCGTGATACAAATATTTCTCAAAATCAAATTGGACTCATGTCGAGTAGCTCTACTATGGAAGCCATACATTTATTGAGAGGTTTGATGGAGAAATATAGAGAGAATAAGGAGGATCTACATATGATATTTATTGATTTAGAGAAAACATATGATAAAGTTCCAAGAGAAGTGTTATGGAGAGTTCTTGAAAAGAAAGGAGTTAATAATGCTTATATTCAAATCATTAAAGATATTTATATAGGAGCTATTACTTGTGTTCAAACACAAGGTGGTTTGACCAAGTATTTTCCTATTTCGGTTAGATTACATCAAGGATCAGACTTAAGTCCATATCTTTTTGATTAAGTCATGCATGTTCTCACTAGACATTGTTTTATGTTTTTTTGCTGATGATATTCTTCTTGTTGATAAGACTAGAGAGGGAGTTGAAGGTAAACTTGAATTATGGAGGTTAACTTTAGAGTCTAAAGGTTTTCTCTTGAGAAGATCTAAAATTGAATATATGGAGTGTAATTTTAGTAGCAATAGACATAGTGAGGGGATTGTGACTTTGGGCGATCAAGTCATTAATAAGAGTACACATTTTAGATATCTTGGATGTATTGTTCAAAGGGATGTTGAAATTGATGGGGATATTATTAGTAGAATTCAAGTTGGATGGTTGAAGTGGAGGAATGCATCAGGCTTATTGTGCGATAGAAAAGTCCCCCTCAAACTTAAGAGAAAATTCTATAAGATGGTGGTGAGACCTACAATGCTTTATGGTGCCGAATGTTGGCCATTAAAAGAGAAGCATAATACTAAGTGTTGCAGAGATGAGGATGCTTAGGTGGATGAGGATGCTTAGGTGGATGAGTGGCCCTTAGAGATAGGATACGAAATGAGCATATATGTGAAAATGTTGGAGTAGCTCTAGTAGAAGATAAGATTAGAGAGAGTCGCCTTAGATGGTTTGGTCACATTAAACGGAGGCCTTCCGATGACCTGGTTAGGAATGTTGAGGTATTAGATTTGACTTTGTTAAGAAAGGTAGAGGTAGACCTAAAAAGACTTGGTTAGAAAATATTAGAAATGATCTTTCTTTATTATATTTAAATGAGAATTTGACTTTTAACCGGACTCAATGGCGAAAAAGAATTTATGTAGCCGACCCCACATAGTGGGACAAAGGCTTGATGTTGTTTTTGTTGTATGTTTTGGAATTCGATGTTAAAACAATGCAACACATATATTGGAATATGAAGGTCAAATTGGTTTATATTTAGATCTTAGGTTTTATATTTCAGCTCATTAGCTTCATTCTTTGTAGTATTTTCATATTTAATGAATATCTAGCAGTTAGCTTTTTCTTTGATTATTTGTTTATTTTGTCATATTTTGGAATCAAGTTTTTGATTTATTATTGTTTCAAGGATTCTAGAGTCTGAAATACAATAAAATTTTCTGTTGTATATTTTGTTATTTATAGTGGGTTTGTATTAGAATTTTCTGTGGAATAATCTAAGAGTTTTTAATTTCAGTAGATTTACATTAAGAATCATAAAGTTTCATATTTTTTATATTGGTTATGAATACTTTTATAAAATATATTCGAAGCGAGATGCCTTGATTTATGACTATAATATTTGAAGATGGTATAATTATAATCGGTAAGACTTCCATAATCAAGTGAAGAATTAGAATAGTGGATGTAATGCTCGAAGGTAATGAACTTAGAATGAGTAACACAAAGGCTAAGTATTAGATATGTAAAATTTTAGTGGATGTGATACTAACACATATCATTCAATATTATTAAAAGATAAGATGATACTTAGGTGAATACTAGGGATATAGATGATGATATACATCTTAGAGTAAAGTTTTAATGTTTAAAATTGAGAAGTGTCACATGAGTTTTGTTTGGCAAGAGGATATCATGGAAACTTAAAGATAAATTCAGCTAAGATTGCTATTATGCTAATGATGTTGTATTGATCTGAATGTTGGACATTAAAAACGGTGATCAATATTTAAATTGATAGTCTTAAAATAAGAGTATTAAAGATGGATGTGTGACAAAATTATGAAAGATAAATTAAAGAATGATTATATTACAGAGAAGATTGGAGTAATAACTGGTGAACATAAGGTAATTAAAAATGGATTTAGATGGTTCGTGCATGTATAATGTAAGGGTAAAACACATGCCTATTATGCATATTGATAATTTACTGTCAAAGTTTTACGAAGGAAATACGGTAGACCTAAAGTTACATCAATGGAAGTTGTGCTAAATGGTATACATTGAATAGATTTTAACTATAGACAATGCTCAATAAAAGTGAATGCAAAATGTGGATTCATAAAGTCGATCCCAAATAGTTGAGAAAAGGCTTATGATAATGATGATAAGTTATTTATAGAAGCCTATCAAATACTAGACAAATGGTCTTTACCTTGGTTGTACTTCACTAATTTTCTTGAGATTTTTTAAGCATGTACGGTTTTCAAAATGAGTATTTATTTCAATATTTGAATGAAGTCTTCTTGAAGGGACCCAGGACACGTCATTTGAATTTTAATATTTATGCTTACCGTTTGTATAGAAACATATGTGTTACTCTTTATGATTAATATTTGTTTAACGTTACATATGTATTTTGATATTTTTATGTCGCCATTTAATTTACTTGTATTGATTTCTCTCTTCAAAGGCTTATGGTATTTAGTGGTTGCTAGACCTGTTCTTAAGTTAACTTAAGCTTGTGCTTTTTTGGTGCTTCAGGCTTGAAGTCAGGAAAATTTGGCTTGGCTTCACTTTTAGTATTGACAACATTGCATGATTCTGTGCAATTTGCAATGGTTCGGCCAGTTAAGAGGGAGCTGAGCAGCACAGATAGTGCTGAGGTTGAGAAAGTTGTCATCATGCAGGGTAACACCGCAGGTGTGAGCAGGCAGGGAGCATTGGAGAGAAGAGTTCTGCGGTCACGGTACCTTGCTGTTAAGAATCTCATTAGCAGTATGATTTCCTTCAAAATTTTGTTTTTGGCTTGTTTAAGTTCTTTTAATGTCCTCTTTACCCTTATTCCGTGTTTTGTATTATGGGCTTTTTGTAGATGAGAGGGATGATATCACTAGCCAAGATTCTAAGAAGTTCAAATCTATTATTAATGAGGTTGAAGCCTTGCATGAAAATGGTATATTATTTTCTATTCTATTGGACTTTTCTCATCTATGCTGGCATTGGCAAAGAACATTCTTTTCATTGTTTGTATAGTGCATGCGTTCAATTTGTATGTTTGGTTGTTTTTATACTCTTTTAATCAATAATGTCAAAGCTCTTGAAGTTATTAGGAAACTCATTTCTAAAGAATCAAGAGTATTTATGATGGATAATGTATATACGAGTCCTTCAGTGATGCGGGCAAAAAATATAGGGGAGCCTATATCTCTTGAACCCACAAAGAAGAGGAAACGAAGCACCAAGATAGAAGGGAATCACTTAGAGATATTAGAACAAACTCTTACATTTCAAACCTAAAATAAACTTAGAAATAAAAGACTTACAACTCTTTAAAATTTAAACGACTAGCAAACAAAATGACACCCTAAAATTGCTTCACTATTAGAAGAGGGATACAGGTGGAGTGGCACTTGCGGAGAGACGAAAGAGATTAGAAGCCGAGAAGAAAGGTTGGAAAGAGCTCGCAAGATTTCCGGAGGGGATGAGAAAGAAGACGGACAAAGCTCGCAAGCTTTTCCAAGCAAACCCGTAGGTTATAGCTTTTCCAAAAATAACATTTCATTTACTACTTTTTTTAAACATTACAAGCCCCTCATATTTATAGGTATGAAAGGAGAATACCAAAAGACACAAACATTGAATTCTCATTGGAATTCCAAACATCACAAACCATAAAACCCTATTGCTTTTTACGGAGGAGCAACCACGGGAGCCAAGGAGGCCGCACGGAACCAAGGCGCCAAAGACACGGGAAAACTCCCAGGCTCGGAAAACCAATGGTCGGCCAGAAATTCAAGGGGCAAAGGCACGGAAAACAGCAGCCCACGGTGGAAGCCAAGGAGCCACGACATGGGAAAACGAAACAACTTTTTTTTTTTTGGATTCCAAAAGCCCTTTTTGGAACCCAAGAGATATCATAAAAACAATAAAAAACTATAGAAATAACATGTAATAAAAAGATAAATATGAATTAAAATGTTAGCTAATAATGAGCTAACCCTTATTTCAATAAGTGAACTAAAGACCAGCTCATAAATGAGCTAAAATTTCAGCTCAATTTTGATTGAGCTTCTAAACTTGAGAGAAGCCAAAATTGATTTATTTTGGACATGAGTTGACCCCCCATTTGTCTATATCAGACTTCCCTTCTTGAGAACTCATCTCCCGATGAGTTAGTTTTGGGTTCTTTCGAGGAGGTGAATACTGTGCATCCTATTCATTGATCAAATCTTCATACTTCTGCATGATCTCATCTCGTTCTTTCAGAAATCAATCTTGTAAACGCTGCTTTTTCTTGAAGTACCTTTCTATACGTATGTGCATCCATGATTGAAGTTTGTATAGTTCATACTCCAGAGGATTTGTTGATTTTGATGGAATCCACCTATCCATAGGATCTTCAATTTCTTCAGGTTTGCTTTCTTTTGTCTTTTTTGTCTTTTTTCATTTTTTTTACGAATGAAACAAGACTCAAAGAAAGACTCAAAAGACTCAACCTAAACTTAGACTCACAATAAGACTCACGACAAGACTTACAAGACTCACACTTGACTTGACTTGACAAAAAGAAACTTAACAATCAAATCCAAAATCTAAGACTTCCTAACTTGCTTTGATACCAAATGATGCGGGCAAAAAATATAGGGGAGCCTATATCTCTTGAACCCACATAAGAAGAGGATACAAAGCACCAAGATAGAAGGGAATCACTTAGAGATATTAGAACAAACTCTTACATTTCAAACCTAAAATAAACTTAGAAATAAAAGACTTACAACTCTTTAAAATTTAAATGACTAGAAAACAAAATGACACCCTAAAATTGCTTCACAATTAGAAGAGGGATACAGGTGGAGTGACACTTGAGAAGAGACGAAAGAGATTAGAAGCCGAGAAGAAAGGTTGGAAAGAGCTCGCAAGATTTCCGGAGGGGATGAGAAAGAAGACGGACAAAGCTCGCAAGCTTTTCCAAGCAAACCCGCAGGTTATAGCTTTTCCAAAAATAACATTTCATTCACTACTTTTTTTAAACATTACAAGCCCCTCATATTTATAGGTATGAAAGGGGAATACCAAAAGACACAAATATTGAATTATCATTGGAATTCCAAACATCACAAACCATAAAACCCCATTGCTTTTTACAGAAAAACAGCCCAAGCCCGGGAACTGAAGGAGCAACCACGGGAGCCAAGGAGGCCGCACGGAACCAAGGCGCCAAAGTCACGGGAAAACTCCTAGGCTCGGAAAACCAGCAGCCGGCCGAAAATCCAAGGGGCAAAGGCACGGAAAATAGTAGCCCATGGTGGAAGCCAAGGAGCCACGGCATGGGAAAACGAAACAACTTTTTTTTTATTCCAAAAACCCTTTTTGGAACCCATGAGACATCATAAAAACAATAAAAAATATAGAAATAACATTTAATAAAAAGATAAATATGAACTAAAATGTTAGCTAATAATGAGCTAACCCTTAATTCAATAAGTGAACTAAAGACCAGTTCATAAATGAGCTAAAATTTCAGCTCAATTTTGATTGAGCTTGTAAACTCGAGGGAAGCCAAAATTGATTTATTTTGGACATGAGTTGACACCCCCCTTTGTCTACATCATTTAGGCTCTAGTTTATTTAACATGTTTTGTGCTCATGAGATTGGAGTTCAGAGACTTCACTTTGTTGTTTATGTTACATCGTTGGTTGATAGTGCTTGGGAAGTATATAATATTTGTTTTCCTAGTAATTAGTTTGTATGGAGCAATATCTTTTGTTATTGGTTTGTATGAATGATGTGAAAGGAGTTGCGGGGGATGTTTGGCAACATGATCTATGCAGAGGATTTGAGCAGGATTTATGCAAAATCCTGCCGAACGGGATTTGTGCCCGTAAGTCTCACAGTGGAATAAATACTCCATTTCCTTGTTCTTGTATCCTGGATTTACTCAATCTTGTAGTGCCGCAAATTTACAAGGTTTGGCCGAAGAAGCGCTTGAAACTAAGAAAGTTACCTTCAGTGCGAGTGAGCTACCGTCGTTCAACTTTTGGTCTGACAGGAAGGTAACGTCGTCCAAGAGCGAAGTCGAACAACAACAAAGGAGCCGAAGAAGCAAATATCAAGGACGGTAGGGACATCGATTTCAGCTAGGAGGTTAGGCCGACAGTCTCGGAGGGGGGCTAGTTTTGTTTCCTGAACCGATCGGTAGCAGGCTGTCGTGGTCGGGCAGGAGAAATGGAGAGGGGTTAAAAGTGTGGGAAGAACAGGAGATTCGGGAGTCCTTCGGATGGAGCGATATAGAAACATAAGTATTTCCTCTGCGACCCGCTGAAGAAGGAAGACAAAGGACACTAACGTGTGATTGGACGTGCGAACGTGGGATGGGTTAATTTGGACATTTTGCATCTAAAACGGTGATTTGGGAACGAATAAGCAGACTGAGAAAAAAAATTGCAACTGCCGAAAAAATGATGTTTATTGACAAGTAATTACAAGTTTTATTTCCAAACATTCCGAAGTAACTGATTATGGCATATCCAAACGGAGAAAGGAGGAAAAAAGTCTAATCAAACGAGCCCTTAGTAAACATGATTATTCAGGTTTGATGGTTAAGAATGGATTTAGTTCCCATTGGCAGCGTATGGTCAATTCATGATTATACTGATACCTTAAATATTTCTTGAGCAGTGCTTTAGTTGATTACAATGTAATTGACTGCACTTGGTTGTTACTCTGCTCTTTATTACTTATCTTTTTTTTTTTTTCCATTGCAGTGAAAAAACCTAGGGAACAAGTGGCAGATGCAGAGACTTTATTGGACATAGCAAGCACGTTGGCAATATCAGTTAGATCTCAAAACAGTGAGGGAGTGACACCGTCAGTTTTTGTTACTGCAATACTAAAGAACTTTGGCTATCAAGAACATAGCGCACAAGCTAATAATTCTCAAAACCTGGTTTCTTGGGCAAATATCGGCCTTTCTGTCTCGCATATTTTCACACCAATTCCTGGATGCTGTACAATGTACGTCTTACTGACCTTTCTAGTCTGCATTTTCTCAGAACATTCTTCAGTGAGTTTAAACTTGGGTGTCTCTAATTTGCAAATCTTGTAACTTGACATCAGGATTGGACCTATGAGTAGTGAAATTAAGCAACGGAAACCTACAGTTCATAGAAAGCGGACTAAGCCAACTGAAAGCACTCGCCCTGAAGAGGTTTGTATTACTTTTATAGCATTTTTTTTCCTTGGCCAAGCTCTGTGGTCTTTTTGTGACAATTGGAAAGCATCTCTAGCTTTAATCTGACATTTTTATTTACATGTGCATGAAACTGAAACATTAGCTTAGGCAGAAATACTTGGTGGTGGTTGTTCTTTTGGATGGTTTGGAGCAATGTTTAAATTGTGTATTCAGGTATTGAGGCGTTTTTCATTCGTGAGGCGAGGCATAAGCCTCAAGGCGTTTTGAGGCGTAAGCCTCAAAACCAAAAGATTGCGTAAACATAAAATGATAAAATTTTTTTATATTGTGATATATATAAAAGCATAAGATGAAGTGAGTAAAATAATACAAAATAGACACATAATATATTACACAAAATCTATTTATCCAATTCTAGATAAACTTTATCATTAATAATAATTAAATTTAAAATAAAAAATAGCAATGAATATAATAAAAGATCATAAGTCATTAAGCACTGTCATCACTAAGGGGTTCTTCATTTGAATCATCATTATGATGAACTGCTCTCTCCCCTTCCTCCTCTCCTATAGACTCCAATGTCGGGCATTTACTTCAAGATTTATGTAAGTTTTAATATATATAGCATGAGCCGTAAGCCTCATGTCAGTGAGGCGAGGCGGGCATCAAGGCGAGCCTCAACCAAGTTGAGGCGCAAGCCTCATAAAAAAAAACTCGAGGCGTAAGCATTGAGGCATTTTTTCCTGGAATTGCGCAAAGGCGGGCCTCAAGACGAGCCTCATATTGCGCAATTTTAAACCATGGTTTGGAGTTTTTCTGATTCTAAAACATATTTGCAATGATAAGAAACTTTTCTCGTCTGCTGCAGATTGATTCCAAAGAGAAAGAAACAAAAGCTGATACTGATAGTAATATGTCAACAATGTTCGACATTTTGAAAAAGAAAAGAAGGGTTCGTCTTGAAAGCTTGCTACTCAACAGGTTTTCCTTTGCGCAAACTGTAGAGAACATTTTTGCCTTGTCCTTTCTGGTTAAGGATGGGAGAGCTGAAATCACAGTCGATGACTCTGGATCCCATCTTGTTTGTAAGTATTAGACTATTTTTCTTAGGTTCTATTATATATTCTTGCTTATGAACGGCCTTTGTGATTTACTTTCAGCTCCAAGAAATGCTCCTACAGCATCAGCGGTGGCTTCTGGAGCGGTCTCTTACCATCATTTTGTTTTCAGATTTGATTACAAGGACTGGAAGGTAGTCCATTATTCTCACTTTGCCATTTTAGTTGAACTATATATATATATATATATATATATATATGCAGTAAAGTAGCACTTGGCATCACAACATTCCTGTGTAAGCAAATTCGGCTATCATTCTCTGCCGTTAGCAATAAAAACAACAATTTGAAATCAATCTCTGCTGGAAGCAAAGAAATTCATACCATTATTTGGTCCCAATAATTAATGCCAATAAACATATAACTGTACATGCCATTTTATAACAACAAACTATAAGCAATAAAAGTTTCCTTCTTCATACAATAATTCAAAATAAATATTTTCTTAAGTAGAAAGCATCAAAGTATTGCTTATTTTTTCTTCACATGCTATATATATTGTTTCCTTTTACGGATTTGAATGCATATATTCATTAAATGTTAGAGCTGTATGTTGATTTGTAAGTCGGAGGTCCAACCCTCCATTTTGCCTGCTTTGATAAGTAAATCCAAGCTTCCTCACAGGCTTGAGGCTGATGTCGATTAGTGAATTCAAACTGATTGTGTATGTGCCCACCCTCCTGTTTCTCTTTATTCCACTAACTGGCCTATGTTCTCCACATCTTTTTCTTACTATGACGATAAGTCTCCGATCTTTGTGTCATCATCTGGATGACCGTTGGAGGTGAATATGCCAAATTTTTTGGCCCTACCCTACTCTCTAGTTATGCGCGAGAAATGGAGGATGCAATCTTCATACCACCTTCATTCTTCATGATTTCTCTCCACTCCATTTCTTAGCCGTCTTCAATGGTCGGAGTGTACTCAAATTAATAACCTAAGGCTTCATTTAGGAAGTCTTTTTTTCAGCTGCTTAAAGTGGATTTCTAGTAAAAAATTAATTTTTTTACTAAAAAGTTATTTTAAGAAGGAATAAGAAAGCCATCCCAAATGAAGTCCAAGTACCCTTGATAATCACCTTCTTCGTATCAGTATCGGGATCATTAATTCTTTTGCAGTTTTTGCTTTGGGCTTGTGGCTAAAAGTGGAGGATGGATAGCCCGTCAAGTCTTCGCTGAGCCCCAAATCACCACTTAAGTACTTAAACATTTGTTATCGGAGGCGGCTGCAGCTTGAGGTTCATATCTTCAACTAGGAGATAGGTTTTTTTTTGTGTGGTTGTTTGGTCTAATTCTTTATGCATATGTATATATGTATGCACAACAATAATAAGTCTTTATCCCATTGCATAGGTTGCTTACGCCTTACATGAAATTTTTTTTCCTCCATTGTGTAACAATAAAGTCGAATTCTCATTTAAATGAAAGGTCATTTTTAACACTTTATAAACAAGTTTTCTAGGTCTACCTCTACAACTTTTTAATATAGACCATATCTAATATATTTATTCTGTTAATAAGGTCATTGAATATATGTATATATATATATATATATATTCAAAATCTTTTCTACATTTTTTTTACGTTTCCTTGTAATTGCGAGTTCATGCTTGAAAGTTGCCCACTAGAGGTTAACTTTAATTGTTTATGCAACGTTCCATTTGGTTATAGAACAAAGCCGTAAGTTGCACTTGATTATGCAATTTCCTTGTCAATTAAATAACAATTACATTCTTTCAAGCATGTATTATGATCTAAGAGAAAGGCCATCATGATTATATTTATAGTGGAAACATTAACAGGACAAATTTATTGAATAACTTGGGATAAAAAACTTGCACCTCTTAGTCGGATAAGTAATTTAAAATTCTTTGAAATATTACCAATAAAACCGAATGAATAAATGAGTATAATGTACTTCCTTTCGAACTAAAAAACATTTTCCATTACTTTTTTGGTACTTTCGGGCATTTGAATAGTTTGCTTTATCAGTGCAAAATTGTAAGTATATCATCTGTTGTAGTTACCATATCTCATAAGTTTGATGGTTAAAAAAGGCTTGATTGTTCATGAACAATATGTTATTGCTCATTCATTCCCCAAGTTACTTGATCTCGGTTTTGTTTAAAGCAAGTGAATAGAGGGTGCATTTTCAAGCTCTGTTTATAAAAAAAAAACACAAAAATGAATCAGTCAGTGGCTGCAGTCGAGCTTTACTGAGAATTGTAAAACTCATCTAAGATGAACTGAACAAGAACATATGTTTGCTCATATTCATATCTTTTTCATCATCAACAACAATATCAATCTTTTGTCCCGCTACATGGGGTTAGCTACATGATTTCTTTTTTGCATTGTCCTATTAAAAGTCAAATTCTCATTTAAATCTAATAAAGAAAGATCATTTCTAATAAAATTTTATAACCAAGTCTTTTTAGGTCTACTTCTACCTTTCTTAACATAATTCAAATCTAATACCTCAACTTTCCTAACCAGTTATCAGAAGGCCTCCGTTTAATGTGATAAAACCATCTAAGACGACTCTCTCTAATCTTATCTTCCACTGGAGCTACTCCAACCTTTTCACGTATATGCTCATTTCATATCCTATCTCTAACGGTGAAGTAACTCATCCACCTAATCATCCTCATCTTTGCAACACTTAACTTATTATCATGCTTCTCTTTTAAAAGCCAACATTCGGCACCACAAAGCATATTCATATCTTTTTTCAACCTCAATCCAAAATTTAATGAGCTAAATGAAACTAATTGTAGTTTAATATTTTCAATTGCATTCATTTGTTGCTTTGCAGGTGATGATGGATGTTGTGAGAGAAGGGGAAGAGTTAATGCCCCATAGGAACCCCCCAAATGAGTTGTCACAGCCCTCTACATTTCATGGGGATATTGAAGCCAATGCACATTCAACACCAATCAGAAAGCTGACTCGAAATCGCGGCCTTGTTGTACAGGACGATTCGATTGTAGAGGATTCATTGGAAAAAGAACCTCCTTGCAAGAAGACTGCACCATCACTCAGAGGAAAACGTCTCTGCATCTGATACTGAGCTTCATTTTTATATCATGACAAGCATGCTTTAAACCATCACAAGAGTATATTATAGCACATAGATTTTTTGTCTCTGTATGGAGTTATTTTGTTGCTTGTCATAGAACTCTAATTCTAACCATGGGTTATTAGGTATGAGCTATTAAAAGGTAAAGTGGTCAGAGCTCTATTGAGAATGCTAACTTGTATGTCCATTTTTTGATGGTAATGTCGTTTTTTGGTATTTTGTTTTCAGCCCTATGAAATGTAAATATTCATTGATAGTAAATTATTTTTTGGTCACTTATGTTTTGGAAGTGATGGAAAGAACATTGTAATGGTCTGCTTGTATCTCTGTTGGTGCTGACAAAATGGCAGGATTTCTATAAAGAAAATTGAAATCAAAGGTTGTCTATAAGTTGATTTGTTAAGGATTGAGCTCTTTAAAGGATCTGGCATTTTATCTTTATGCATTGAGAAATTTTGCAATTATAAGAGAATAATGAAGTTGCTGTTCTAAAGGTTGATTGTGTTCCAAAGTATAAGTTTATCTCAGGAGTGACTGGATATACAGGAAGGTCCCAATTACATGTATTAATTATTTTATGCGGATGCCGAAAACGATGGCATTTGGCATCTGGAGACAAATCAAAATGCATCGTTTGGAGACAAATCAAAATGTGTCATCACGTCATCTCCTTGCTCGGAATCGTGGCTCGGTATTGGTGACGTGGTGCATTTTTATTGATTTCTGGTCGGTATTCTACATCTTGCCTCACTGAATAATTTCTCCAATTACATGGCCATTAAGGATGATTGTTTTGCTTGGCGATCAATCTACTCTTAGTCAAGCAATCAACATTGCTAGGAGCTGAAGGCTGAGCATACAAGTCCCATTGAGTAAATTGGGCATCTTATAATAGGGATATCATGACATTAAATTGTAGCACTATCTGAATCTTTCTCAAATAACTCATTACTTATTTAATAAACCATCATCTAATTAAGACAGCAAAGCAAATCAAACACTGATTTCTTTATAAAATTTCCTCTCAACATTGCAAAGTTACATGGAACCAAACAGCCCCAACCTTTGTGCAAATTTTCTTTCCCAGTGCAAACTTCAGCCTTATTTAGTTCAGATTGTATCTTTTTAGCTGGGGATTGAAAATTTGAAATTAAATAATTTTTTTTTTTTAAAGAACCAAATATTCATTTCAGTAAAGTATTGATTCTCCACTGGGAAAACAACAGCATTAAAAATTTGGAAAGAAAAAAAAAAAGTACCAGAGCCAAGAGAGCAGTGAAATTTATAGGCTTAAAACTCTCCAAGTGAAATATATCTATTTAGTTGAAAAGAGTGCACATATATAACGAGTAATGTAATTTAATCTAAAGGGGCCTGCAACATAAACAACGAATTTCCCCATGTCCACATACAGATAATAAAAGGAAATTCCAATGATTGAATTGAAATATATATATTTTTTAGGTAAACAACCACCATTAGAGAAATTCAGATGGAGATTTACCAGCTTCACCTTCTGAAATGCCTCTAATGCAAATCAGAGAAGAAATTCGGCCAACACCATCATCATATTCAAATATTTGATAAGATGTCTTTTGTCAATTTGCACTACCTCCATGTTGAACCTCCCAATCTAATAACCTCTTCAGAACTGGTATCCTTTGAGAACTTGTAGTCGGTACCATTTCCCTTGGCGTCACTTGCATCACCATACAGATCCTTCAACTTCGCCAGATTGCTTGAGATGGGAGCAGCCTTATCCTTGCTTAAATCTTTGAGGGGACTACGATGACGATCTAAGCTACGGCTCCTGCTCCTGCTCGATCGAGATCTTCTGTGGCGATCATGGTCGCGTCCACTCCTTTCATAATCCCTTGTGCTACCACCATCCCTCGTAGAATATCTCGATCTGTAAGAGTCCCTCCCCCGGAGGTCCCGATCACTATGACCATCATAGTCATGCTTTCTATCCCTATCCCGAACTCGGTCTCGGTCATGAGAGCGATCTCTGTCGGAATTGTGACGATCAGGCCCTTCACGACTATGGCTGCGGCGATGTCCTGGGGATGACCTTGGTTCTGTGCTGTGGTTTTTGTCCCTAGGTGGTGTAATAGTCCTCCGAACTGGTGAGGCATCCCTGGTGGATGCGCGATGCGGAGCACGTTGTCCAAATGACACAGAAAGAGCAGCTTTCACAGAAGGTGGGCGACGAGCAGTGTCATCCCAGCCATGGCGATTGGAATCCCCAGTGACACCAGAGTGCTTGGTTGGTAGCTTGAGTTTCTCAAGATTGCCTGTGATTTGCCGCAGGACAGGAACTGGTACCCGAGGGAAAAGTGTGTCAAAATAATACTGCACCAAAGAAGGCATAGCTCAAGTTAGACCTGAACTAAAATTGTATTAGTCTAATCTTTAGTGCAAAACAAAACATAAGATTTTGAACGACTTAACATGAGATAACAATATTCCAAACTGCTTAATTTGGTTTTGAAAAGCTTCGTTTGGGACGGCTTTCTTACTGCTTCTTAAAGCAACTTTCTAATACAAAAATTTAAAATTTTTATACTAAAAAATTGTTTTAAGAAGCATTAAGAAAGCCATCTCAAACGAAGCCTAAGTGGTTGTATTACTAGCCTAAGTCAGCACATGATTCTTAACAAGCTTGCACACAGAAAAAAAACACTGAAATATGAATAGACCAAAGGTAAAGGTTGCTGAACATAATTTGGATTCAATGAGAATCAAGCTTTCTTGAAAAAATTGGAGAGCTGATATAGTCCTGTAAGAGACAGTTTGCCTACCTGAAATGCTGCATCAACTATAAAAGAAATCACCGTCAAACAACTATATTGACAATCAACTAATGGGGTTGTTTTGCCCTGGTGTTTTTTGACTACAAAGTAAAATGAATGTATGGTTTCAAATTTTTAGGCGTTTGGTTGGGAGTAACAACAACAACAACAACAATAACATCAAGCCTTTGTCCCACTAAGTGGGTTCGGCTATATTGTGCCCTGTTAAAAGTCAAATTTTCATTTAAATCTAAGAAAAAAAAGACCATTTCTAATATTTTATAATCAAGTCTTTTTAGGCCTACCTCTATCTTTCTTAATATAAGTCAAATCTAATACATCTACTTTCCTAACCGGTCATCGGAAGGACGTCGTTTTATGTGACCAAGCCATCCAAGGCGACTCTCTCTAATCTTATCTTCCACTAGAACTTTGGTTGGGAGTAAAACAAATGCAAAATATTTTTTTTTTATAAATTTTAGAATATTGTAGTTCATTTTCAATGCATTCTAAATTTGCTCAAATTAGGGAAATGCAGAATACACGAGCTCGTGCAGACCTCTCCACCACATGCCTCCGTCCATCAGGCATTAACCTCAACAAAACCTAAGTCTGCCCTCTCACCTTTACAACCCCCGACATCACCTCCATCGGATGCCGACCTAGCCTCTAACCTCACCATCCATACAGAAAAAAAAAAAAAAAAAACAATTATTGCATTTTTTTTTTCTTTTTGAAATTATTGATCTGGAAACACAGAATGCTTGCATTAATCACATGAGAAGCCAAGTAAAGAGATCGCCTTATCACATGCTTAAATATTGCAGACAGCATCATTATCACAAAAGCAGACAGGAGGCTTAAAAAAGAATAGATGCTTATGACAAGCACTTAACCGTATTCCTACAGGAGGTGAATAAAAAAAGAACAACAAAAACAAACAAATAGAACCCTAAATTTCTGCTTGAAGTCAAGACTATACTCATTTTGAATACAACGTTACAAACCTTATACTAAACTGTAGACAAGATGGCCTCTCCTTTCAAAGCAAGCTTCATATGGGAACCCAGGCTCAGAATAAATGAGAATTTGCATTTGAATGAACACAATAAAAGCCATTTCCAAGGCACAGTATTCTGAACGCGGACATATGAGAACACAGGCAAAAAGCTGATCAAGTAGAATTTGACTATACTTGCAAGTTACTACAGATAATGAAACTTCACATAATATGAATTATGAAATACATAAAAGAAATGAAAACAGACCTGTCCAAGAAGAAGATCCCGTACATATACCCCCATTGTTGTCGTTCGCCCATTGGACCCAGGAGAAAATTCCTGAAAGGAACACAGAACTACATGTATGCTTAAATGTAACATTGGTAAAATTATTTGTATCAATATCTTCGTTAAAAAAAGTCAGCAGTGCTTGAAAGTTCACAAATTAAACTAAACGTAGATCAAACTATAAATAGAAAAAAACAAAATTAATGTAATATAAATTTCCTCAAAGATCGCATAATGTGAAGTGCAAGCATTTTCATCCTAAAGAAAAAAGTTTTCTAACTGAATTAACCACGGCAATCTTAATCAGAAAATCTGTAGTTAACAAAGATAAAGACCACTTCTGATAAGCCATGTAGAAATACCTAAAAGAACCTCTTAGTGAGACGCAGGGATCAAACCCACCACCTCAAACTGGAAAAAAGCCCTCTCAAACACCATCTGAGATGGAATGGATATGAGCATGTTATTATCACAAATTAAATATTAGAAAATGACCTAGGAAATATATTTAGAGATAAAAAAAAAAATTGTAGAGCATAGAGCACAAAATATCCGATCCACTGCCTCATAAAATGATTTCAAATGAAGGGGCATAATTTAGTATCAATTAACCAGTAATTGCCTCGTTAGTCAATGAACCAAATGAATAGTCATGTTTTTAGAAGCCAAAGCCGAAGGAAAACTAATAATCAATCATCAACAAAGGACCAATGCATCACCATAATTTCAAATTGACGAGCATAAAATACCTATAAGAAAAAATTATTTATTATATGATTCTTTAGATAATGTCCCCATCCATGTATTTTTTAGTCTCTTTATTACAAGGGTTTTTAAGGCAATTCTCCCCCCCCCCCCCCCCCCGTAGATCTACGGCCACGTCGACGGTAGACTTTCCAACTGATGTCCCCATCACCATAATTTCAAATTGATGAGCATAAAATACCTATAAGAAAAAATTATTTATTATATGATTCTTTGGATAATGTCCCCATCCATGTATTTTTTAGTCTCTTCACCAAATCTGCAAAATCAATTATTTTTAGGTAGCGCCCTCGGAACAAATTTTGGTTGCAAGGAAATTTATTGAAAAAATATCACTACAATTTTACTTATAAGTTTGCCCCCCCTTGAAAATTAAGGTTAGTTCCATCCTTGCCTAAGACCAATCTGCATCCGCACTTCAAATATCACTACACAACTCTGAAAACTAAAACGTCTAGTTACATCAGCTAAAGGCATTACAACACCACTGAGACAAAAAAAAAAGATGCGAAAGAAAGTATAGAGGTTTCCAAATTTCAGTACAAATAGATAATATGCAATTTTTTTGTTGACTATAGGACACAAACCAAATGACAACTATGTCAACGAACCAACAAAAAATCATTGAATTCTGACTCGATGTATCAAGACTCCTCCAAGACAAGTTAAGACATGTCTGTTCAATAAATCGCAAAAGATTATAAAGGGAAGATATGAAGGACTAGCTGAATCAATTCTGGTATGATACCAGCCTCGTGCAGCACTTCTGTCCAATAAACAGTAAAGATGCAACAATATATAAAAGGAGTACATGAAGGACCATGCCTTATGTTTTATTCCAAATCATGTAAAAAATCTACATGCAGAAGCATGCAGCAACCACTAAAACCAATAAAAGGAGTAAATGAATAGACATCCAAAAACTGAATCTAGCCCCCCTACATAGAGGGCTAATAATAATTGTGCTCTCAAAAGTAAAGTAGCCACCTATAAAATTGTTAAGGGTTAAACATAAACTCTGTTAAAACTATAATCGAATTATTTTGGTGTTGTGTTGCTTGAAGAATAATTGCTAGAAACAACCAGTAACGATACAATTTGGTTGCCATTAAAAAAATTCTGCTTGTCAGAATTTGGATTTTCTTTTAACAATGCCCTGATTAAGCTAGTGAGAAACAAAGAGAATCTCCACATGCAACTAAGCAGTGCAAAATCTCAGAAGTGGATGCTCTAGATTCTTAAACGGGTAAGTGATAAATCCATCATTCTATATAATTATCCACAACATCGTTATCCTTTCCCCAACAAATCATGATTGGACTTCTAAATTAGATAAGTGCAAAACAGACCTCTCACAAAAGCTCATTCCAAATCTGCAAAATCTGCAACCCATAACAACTATGGTTTCATCCGAGTGAAATTTCAACTTTGATATAAAACATGGTTGTTGAATAATAAATCATGCAATCAAGGCAAAAAAAATATGATGATGCCCCTACGGCATGATAATTTCAGTCCACTATGACATTCAAGTCATTAAAATTTCCTAAATTTCATGGATGTTGTCACTGCCATTACATTATCAAAAATCAGTACAACATCCAGCAATTCTATCTCTGCAAAAGCACAAAATTTTTATGATCATCAATGCTGAGGAGTGAACGCGAGTAATAAGCAGAGGGTGTTATATAGAATTTAGTTGGGATGAGCACAAAGTAGGGATGTTTGATCCGATAAGGATGAGATAAATGGCCTCCTAGAGAGTCAGGTATGAGATATTTATTTATTGATAAGGGTCTCGATAAAGCTTGACTTCATTAATTTATAGGTTGTTTATGAGCCCTACAACAACAGATTCTGGTTCGAGTAGCTGATAAATGCCTCAATAGTCAGGGAATCTGACAAACTCGTGCTCCACTAATCAATTCACATCGCTTTGAATGACATCTATCTCACCGTGTGATGAAACAATTTGGTGAGGTGCAGCAGATCGACTTGGAGCCCATGAAGCATGAATTTGTGGGATTAGATGAGAGTTGAAAGACAGATGTTGACTGGGTAGTCTTCCACCAAAGATATATTCAACTATTGGAGAGCATACATGCCCTTGTAGTTTGATGTAGGCAGGGGTGGGGGTCAAAACATTTTGAATTGTAATTTTGGAGAGCTTCTAGGTCCTCTACTAGAATCAGCTCATTAATGTCTAGTAGAGTGCTTTTAAGCTCATAATTTGGAGATTTGTTAGGTTCTTCCCCCCTTTCTAATGGCACTTTGGTTTCCCATTTGGCTCCCCTTTTCATGGTTGCCCTATCCCCTTCCCTTGGCCCTTCGGTTTTCCCCTCCTGGTTCTTCTTTTTCCCCTTTTGGTTGTCTGTTCCGGTTCCCTGGGCTGCTGGTCCCGATTCCCTATGAAGCCCGTTCCTTCCCCCTTTTTTAGCTGCATGTTCCCATTTCCCTTGGGCTGCCTTTTTTCGGGTTTTTATGTGGTTGTTCGGGTGCTGTTCTGGAATGAATGTTGGCCCCCTTTTGTGGATGTTTGGGTGCTGTTCTGGATTGACCTTTGACCTTCCATTTCCCTGTTTTTTTAATTGGATTAATTGATGATCTTTTGGGCTGTTTGAATGCCCACATTTTCCCTATATATATATGCGATGTTTTGTAAGCAAAAGAGAGTTTTTATGGATTATTTTTGGAGCTAAGAACCTGAGGGTTTTTCTTCTTTCTTTGGAAAAGCTTGCGAGCTTGTTCCGTTCTTCCTCTCCCTCTAGGAAAGCTTGCGAGCTTGTCCTCTCTTCGTCTTGGGCTTCTTACCTCTTTCTTATCTCTGCAAGTTCGACGTCATTTGTATCTTTCTTCTCGACGAATGAAATGCAAGTTTAGGTTTTTATTATACAAGTTTGTAAGTTTCTTCAAGTTGTCAAAGTTATGAAGTGTCTTTCGATTTAAATTTGTAAGCGTCCTTTTATTCTATAAACGGTGTATTTTTGAGTATTTTCTTACTTCCTAGGAAATCTTGTAATATGCTTGCAAAAATTGGGGTCTCCCTATATATTTTTGCTTGCATCATAGTTCATCATCATCAACAACAAGTTGATCCCAAAAAAGCCCGTAGGAGATACATGCGGTAGTACAAATCTTGAGATTTCTGGTACTTATTAAGAGCTCCTAAAACAACACCCTCCACTTACTATTTGCATTCAGCAAATGAAAGGATTTTGGTAAGTAATTTCTTATTTCTTCTCCCTGCTCCCTTAATCTGAAAGACTTAACTTTTTTTTTTTTTAAAGCATCAATTCTTCTTGGATATTGAGGATGCTTTACAACCTGCAATTGAATGTGATAACAATCAACTATTATTATGCATGACAAATAATTAGGTCGATGAACTATGTACTGAAGTGAGGCGGCCGATGCACATTATGGATGATCAATAAGGTGATGAAGATAATTTTGATGAAGAACCGTCTATGCTTGGATTTGCAGGCCCGTCAGTTCATATGGGTCCTAGCCCATCCACAGGGACCCCGATTTTTGTGGACCCCTATAGTGTTCCAAGCGCATCTTCCCAGGATCTATTTGATTTCTTCGGATCACAATATGATACCTTAGTTCGACATGTATTTTAGTGGTATTGAGGGGTTTTTTCACTCCTCAACAACAACAATTGTTGACGCAGATGCAGTATCTCGATAATCACCACCAATGTGGATGGGCTCTGCAGCAACTGCGTGACCTTACATAATGATATATTGAATGTCTTCATAAACTCCACAACAATCACCAAATCTTCCAACGCAATTTAATCATGATATGCACGATCAGCAGCAAGATCAGGAAGATGAAGAGTTACCATAACATCAACTTCACAGCGGACCAGCTCGTGATCCACAATATTATACATCAAGGATAGCTGCAATCCCTCCTCAGTAGCGTAGGATAAGTATTATTAGCTTTTTCACCATCACTCTGAACAATAGATCCAAGATATCTAAAACATGTACTCTTATTAATGACTTGATCGCCCAAAGTCACAACCCCCTCACTAGGTCTATTACTACTAAAATTACACTCCATATATTTAGTTTTAGATTTACTCAAGCAAAAACCTTTAGACTCTAAGGTTGGCCTCCATGGCTCCATAATTTAAGTTTACATTCAACTCCCTCTCTAGTCATACTGAAAAGTACAGTAAATTCTAGATCTTAAAAAAGGTATCAAGTTTGTACCTTACTTTTACAATCATCACAAGAGACAGGTAAAAATGTTTCCATAAGACTTCTTGGTACTTTACAAGAATTTGTTATATATATATATTGTTTTATACTAAATGATCACGTTTAGTCACAGCAAAAGGATCTCAATTGCATGCCAAGTCCAATCATGAGCATTTGTTATGGTGCTAAAAATGAATGAACTTAAATGTAGCATGCATTCCTTCTTCCTAACATATGATCATATCCCTATATGTTAAGAAAATCAGGGCGGTTAATTGCATGCAAATAGAATGAGCAAAACAAAAATGCTCATGACCTAGATATATACCTACAAAAAAATAATAGGGATAGGAGCTAAATACCTCTTCATCTTTTATGTAAGGATCACACCATCCCCATAATGTCTTTGGATCGGCAACATATCGCAAGTATAGAAAACCAATCTGCAAAATAATTATCAGGGATCAATTCTCCATTCTATAACAATATTTGTAGACAAAAATTAAAATGAGAAAAATAAAAAAACTATTGTAGTTCTAATTGCAACTGGGCCGTAAAAAATAGTTAATGCTGAAATGGAAAATGTTAAAAAATATTAGCAAAGCGTGTCCAATGGAACATCTACATCAACGTTCGTCTAAAAAAGTGAAATTTTGTGATATGTTGTCTACTAGAAAGGAGAATTTATGATTGAATACTTCTGCAATATTTCTTTTAGAAAGTCAGCAAAATAGCAAGCCCTACTTCAATAGATTACCACTCTCCATCTACCAAAACAAGAAACTTAAGAAAATGAAGAACCAACCCCCCATAAGTGCCTTCTGGAGTAAAAAGAGAATGATTACATTCATACCGAAATACTAGATAATGGATCAATAAATCCGAGACTATGCTAATTCTATTACAGTCTCCATTCAAAGCCATCATCTCTTTGTATACATTACTTTGTTCACCAGTTATATTTAACAAATTCAAAAACATCTTAACTTTCGCATAACCTTCATGCAAATATAGTGTTCATTGTCATTTTGAACCCATTGAAACAATGACAATTAGATAGAGGAAAAGAAAGAATCAATATCATAAGGTATGCAAAGGTGTCAGAATAAAAATTCATGCTCTACTGTTTCCCTTTCCTCAAACACTCCATCTTTTTAAGTATTTCTCTATTTATCTTATAAAACTTTAAAGTTTAGTCTAAAACAAAGGCTTTTTATATTTGTAGACAAAAATTAAAATGAGAAAAATAAAAAAACTATTGTAGTGGAAAAGAAAGACAATTAGATAGAGGAAAAGAAAGAATCAATATCATAAGGTATGCAAAGGTGTCAGAATAAAAATTCATGCTCTACTGTTTCCCTTTCCTCAAACACTCCATCTTTTTAAGTATTTCTCTATTTATCTTATAAAACTTTAAAGTTTAGTCTAAAACAAAGGCTTTTTTCAATTATACAGGCAGCAGGGCTAAAGCACAGCAGTTATCCGCATGAAAATATCAACAAGTTTAGATAGAGTACATTGACCGAAGTAACATGTGAACCAATTCAATTTTAGATAAAACAAATTTATCCAGGAATTACAAATTAAGCTTCATTTAGACATCTTTAGAAGTATTTTCATTCTAAAAGTGATTAAGAAACATTTCAAAAATGAACAGAGATGCAAGCAAGATGAAAATTCATTGAACAATGACATTAAATAGCCCTAAGGTGAAACCAAAGACAAACCTCGAAGTTGTATAATAGTATGAATAAGCCGATGTTCAATTATTCAATATGAAAAATGGTTCTATTTACCATTCAAAAAGTGTATAAACTACTCCAGCTTAGGTTCCAAATCAGGCTACACAAAAACTTGCTTGAATGAAGGTAAACGATGTCAAGCACCACCAATCCCTCTAAAAGTTAAGCAATTGTTCCCCCCTATCCTCTCGCCAGGAAAAAAAAACCAAAAATTCCAACTCTTAATCACCCCTATAAACATGCATTAACATTGCAAAATATGGAAGTGGCAAGAAAAAGCACGTTCTATTCCACAAATGTCTCCGAGTTACTAAATTTACTGCAGAACAGATTTTAATACGATTAGCTGCATAATTCCATATATTGCTTGAACTGAGTGCTTAGAGAGGCTAGAACCACAGCAGAAATGAGATTACATCAAACAACATCATATTTCCTGCAGAATCACCGACAAACTCTATAGCAATATGAATTTTCCTGCAGAACCTGAGATTTAATAAACCATACAAGATCTCTAGGAGATCATAATTATATAATGAATTGGGATGCACTTCTCTATAAAACTAAGTCAATTTCAATCGATTGCCATCCCTAATCTAGAAGCTTTTGCATTGTTACTGACCAAAAAGAAAAAAAAAAGTATGCTGCAGAATGACAAGCATTATTTGAAGAAGAAGTTTATCAAATCCGCAATTCTAAAAGTTAACCATCCTCAAGTTAATGAAAAATAATCAACATCCATTTATTTATTCATTTTAGTTTTGGGAAAACAGATAAGCAGCATATGCTAGGTTTACAAAATTGACTATATGTGGAAACTTACAGCTCTTATATATGGAGAATCAGGATGCTTCAATAGTCCATGCATTTGCTTGACAGTGAGCTTCATAGTGAAGAACTTGTATAAGAGGCAAAATGCTGTCGACGGACCCCTACAATTTCCGGTCATCCATGGCTCCACATGGTCAACTTGGTTGTAGATCTCATCGATTACCTCATGGTATGTCTTCAACCTATATAGTTCTTTGAAGTAATCAGAAGAAAGAATGTTCATGCAAAGCACCTTCTCTAGTAAAGTATCAATGGGTTTTCCAGAAGTTTGAATCTCCATTGCTACAAGATAATGCCAAGCAAACAATACAATCTGCCAAATTGATGCACGAGATAACAATATTAATGTTGTAGGATTGGTGTCAACCTGCAAGCTCAAAAGACATCATAGAGATCCCCGCATTAGACAATTCCACACGAAAATAAAAAACAAATTTTCGAAGCAAAACTAGAAACCAAAGTCATTTAAGCAATACAAAAGATAATTAGAAAAAAAACTGCTGAGACATAAAGATCCCAACTATAGGGTGGGTTCAATGCGAATATATTCAAGAGTCTTCAAGAATCACAGAAAATAAGATAATTAATCTAAAACTATCAAGATATAGTTTCTTCGTATCACAAAAGCATCAAGATATAGTTTAGTGCATTGGTCACGGGCACAAACATGAAGAATTGCAAGTCGTGGAAAGAATCACCAAGAGCAATTAATTCAGCGTTTATCATAGAGCATGGGGAAAATCACTTTGCTGCCATAGCTTTTTATACAAGCCTTTCTGGTGAATGTTTGAACTTCCAAATCTTTCAGGCCATATCAAAGGATGTGGCATATTCCTAACTATGCTGCAATTTTAATGTATGTGTATTTAAGTTGACAATTTATTGCGCAATAAGATCATGATGCACTCATATGTGCCTATAATGACTACTACTCGAAGAAGGGTAGCAACTTACCCCAATGGGCCAATCAAATCAAATGAAGCGCCACAACACACCTTTGAACAAATTAAAACTCATTGGTTAGCTATTATATGCCAACATCACCACAGAGGTGGGTATTAAGGAAGTTGGGTCAACTTCATTGTCAAGAGTGACTACCACTAACATCAAATCACCTACAATACCAAAGATGACTACTATAGTTGGGTTGAACACATTAAATAATCTAGCTACATTCCATGGACCAACTATACCACCAACAATATTAGCAACAAAATTGTTAGGTTTGGCCACATCCTTTGATGGTCAACTACAAATTTTATTTGTTTGTTAACTAACTAGTCATTTGTAGGGGCAAATGAATTCAAAGAGAGTGAAAATCCAGATGGTTCTCACATTCATGATAAATTATTTAGATAATTCAGCTCAATTGGGACTAAATGAAGTAAGCAAATAAAATAAGGACTAAATGAAGTAAGCAAATAAAATAAGGACTAATTGAAGTAAGCAAATCAAATAAAGATTGGACATGTCTGACTAAGGCAAATAGGCTCTTTCAAGTTAAAAATAGCCAAGGGGATCTATGTTATTAGTGTAAGTCCTTAATTTATGTTAAATAGGTCTAAAATAAATAGCTTATATAAAATTTCACCCCCATCAGTAGGAATTTGTCCTATCAAATACTCATCTAGATAGGTTTTATCTTATAATTATTATTTTTAGGATAGAATAGAATTTTCAAGTAATTTCTGATTTCCTCATTATAGAATTAGATGGTCATATAACTAGTAATATGGCTTTGAAATTAATTGAATACAAATTTAATTGATTTGGCATAACCGCATAAGTCTCTATCCTATTCTATCACCTCTCTCAAACTCCTTACAACCTCACGAACTCCTAATCCAGGGAGTAAAAGGCATTGAATTCACTCTCAACAATTTATGCATACAAGTACTCAAACAAGAGCAAAAATTCAATAGGCTTGCAACCACAACCTACAACTGCACCATCCAAGGACAAAATTGTGTCATTCATTTGTTTTTCAGTTGCTAAGGGTGATTTCTGTAACTTTTTTACGACTAAATTTCAAGGGAAAAATGGGGCAAAGTAAACATAGAGGAAAAGCCATGGGAACGAGTGTTATATTCAATAAAACTTTATCGATTAATTGCATGGTAATCTCTTTTTCTTGATTAGGGAAGTTTATTGTAGTTGATCTCACAGGAAAACTCCAGATATTTGTAAGCCTCTTCGAGAAAAACTTAAAAAATCGAGTTGATTCCAAAACATTTTTGTATCATCATTTTCAATTTGATTTAATATCATAATGCACTTATATTTTAATGTCAAGTTTATTCCAGATCAATAAATGTAGTAAGCAAGTCACGAGACATTAGTTATTAACGGAAAGATAAAAAGGAAATAGTCTAGTAAAAAAGAAATATCATTTATTCAATACCATGCCTTTCCATCCGGTCATAGTTAATCATTGCCTACAAGCTTAATCAGGAGATTAGTTGAATTCAACATCTAACATACAAATATATGATGTATAAATTATAAACGAGAACATAATGGAATAGAAGTTCTAAGCAGTTATTGTTTCAAGATCAAAGACAATAAGCTGCTAAAAAGAATTCCTCAAATGGAAGCAAAAAACACAGTATAAGTCACTTGCCTTGTTGATTGAATAAATAATTTTAATTTGATATTCCCTTCATTGTTCGTTGTAACTAATCTTTCATTTACACAGAGTTTGGCACCAAATAGTCAATAAGCCCAAATATTTTTTGCTATGCAATTAGAAAAATGTTGACATCAGCACCTTACAACTTTCCTTTGGATATAACTAAGTGGCCTAGCATAAATTGAACCAATTCATGAATTCTTATTCGCCTTTATGATACTTCGATGCTCATAATTTGTCTAGTATATTTCCCTGCCTTGTGCAACACAGGTTATCAATTATCTCGTAGTGCAAAAACCTTAAGAAATTTTCTAACATCGGTGAGATGGTCCCCTGCAAATCTGCTATAAATTAAAATGCCATCAAGATGCAATATGTGGTTGGCAAGAACATAAACAAAACAAATATGCAATACGTGATTGGCAATCTTCATAAACAAATAGGTTTATTGGTCAAACCAAATGACATAAACAACTACATGTATAAACAATCCTTTGTCTCAATGATATTTTTATGTGAACTTGATGTTAATCACTTTGAAGATCAATCTTTAAAAAGATCAACATCCACTCATTGTATCTAACATGCAAATATGCAATCAAGCCTAGGTACAAGAAACTTATATTTAGTTTTAATTTAATTATGGCTTTTCCATCTACAAATGCACTTTTATTCCTTTAGAAGAAAAATTAGAACCAAAAAGGGACTTGGGCTTTCTTTAAATGAATCTTTTATGAGTTGAGCCTCTAATAGGCCTTCTTTAATTAAATCCTTTCATGAGTTGTCCATTTACTGCCTCTCAAGCATAGTATGTTCACGTTCTAATGGTACATTGGGTAAAGATGATTTGAGAACAAGATCATTAACATGCATGCTTCAAACAGGTGAAAGTTGATAAGGTGGATCATAAAGAAAAGATCATTAAAATACCAAGAACCTGACTACTAGCATTAAGTAAGATGAGGAGCCTATAAAAAAGCTAATTATTCTCTAAAATGACCAAAGCCTGAAACCCATTCTTCAAACTCCCCACGTTCAAATTCGCATCAACCTCAATATGTAGTGGCTTGTATCCCTATATTCCTTTCTAGAGCTAACTTAAATCTCCTTAGGTTTGTAAGTATTCAACATAATCCGTTCACTTTGGTTTTTGAATAAATAAGAGTTGAACATATCGCAATGGATCACATCAAACCAAAGGGACACACTTGACCCAATAAGACACATACATCATTAATAGACAAGACATCATACAAGATGAGTTTATTAAATATACAAGCTGAATGGAGACCAAAATATGTCTTGTCAAACCACACACCATGTAAGGTTGATGATGAGGTTCAGATTCAGATTTGAAGTGCTCCAAAGCAGGCTTAGAAATCACATGCATATGTCTATCATTTAAAAAAATAAGTTTTCAAAACTTCTTAAGAAAAAGAAATAACAATTCTTCAACAGTCAACATCAATTACAGGTGTAGTGATGGCACTTCCATGACATTAAAAAAAAAAAGATCCACTAAAGCTTCTGCATCACTAAATCCAAACAAGGTTTAATTCTTCATGGACTTCCTCATCACCTCCTTCCTCAAAACAATGATAAGATTTGTAATAGGACATTCATATGCATTGGTAAAATGTTAACATCCAAAAAAAAGTTGTTCAATCTATCTAGAACCAAAATTAAGAAAGCAAGTTTACCCCAAAGATCCTAATTAATTGAGGAGTTAGTTCCCTTGGATACACTTGGTATGTTGGAATGTTAGACCTTCTAGGCTTAGGAAGAAAGTCTTCTAACGTTAGAAGCTTTAAGGTACTATTACAATTCAAGGAATAGTTGAAACGCACAATATAAGTCAAAATCTCCTTCAAAGTCCTAATAAGTATACCAGTTCATACTGCCTTTTTGGACCGTATGCACCACATTACATCATGTTTGAATTGAGAATCTAGAGGTAGAATACAACTAGAAAGGTTATGGTTGCAAGCAATAATAGTTTCAGACATCTCTTGATTGTGCCAAATAGCTTTTACTATTGCTTAAATAAAGTCTGTACTTCAACAAATTGGCTATCTTGCAGAAGCAAGTAGAAACTTTCCAAGAAAAGATCTTGATATTAACACATCATTGAAGCACCAGTATTCTATTTGTTCAGTTGCTGCAGACTGCTCTGAATTGCAACCCAACGTTATGAAATTTTTAACTATATTGGTTTATATTAAACTTCTTTGCTCCTTACACTAGACCCTTTTAGTACACTTGAGAATATTAAACTTCATTGCACCTTATTAGCCATGTAGCTTTCTTTAAAGAGAACAAAGAATTGAAATTTAGAGAGCAAAGAATTGAAATTTCAATTTATTTATGAACATGTTTTATTAACTTGAATCTAAAGCAAACTTCCCTTATATGAATGGTTAAAAAACTGGAAAGCTTCTCTTTTGAGTACATAATACCTTACTTATAGATAGAAAAGCTTCCTATTTCTCAATATAATTTATTTTACTTTGATGGTCTACTGCAAATATTCGTATGGCTTATCACATCGCGTCTATTTAAACTAAATTATAAATAAATAAATAAAGCAGCAGCAGCTCAAAGGGTTGCTTCCAAATAATCCAAATTCAAGATAATTCCTCCAAAAAAATCGGAGAAGAAAGCTCAGAGCGGGGGAAGATAACAGAGAAAGCGAAGCGCGCAAAAAAGAAAACATGAGAAGAAGAAATTAGAAAACACTGCAACAGAGGAATTAAATAAAGGAAAGGTAAAAAAAAGCACCTGAGATCTCGATCTCAACCGATAGCCGCACAGTGCGGGGAAATCCGACGAGATTTAGAAGAGGGGCAGAGAAGAAAGAAGCGAGATGGCAAGATAGATGCTAGGGTAACGAAATCGATTGTGTCGAAGATTGTCACTTCGGACTCTTGTAAGCATCGAACCGGCTGTTGTGAACCGGGCAGATACTCGACCGGACAGGATCAGACGGCTCGCATTTTAACGAAATATTTGAATAAATTTATCTTTTTTAAAAAATCGTTTATTATTTAATATAGGCTTTTTTTATTATAAGTAAGCCCCACCTAAATTATATTATATTACAAATAATAATAAATAAAAATGGGTTATAAAAAATAGTTACATTTCATAGGAGGGCAAGATCACTTAAGGGCATCTCCAACCGAACGCTAAACAAGTGTATGGAGTCGTTCCGTCGCTCCAACCGAATGCGAAAATTTCCTCCATTTAATCGCAGGTGAACAGTGCGACGCCAATATTGGCGTCTCACTGTTCACTCACGCCATTTTTTTGCTCTCAACCAGAAAAACGCGCGAAAGAGAGAACGATCGTTACCTTCTCAAAAACACCTAAAATGGCGTTCGATTGGAGCATCACCGCGCCATTTTGGAGTTTTGCGTTACTTTGCCGTGAAAAATGAAGTTTTCGGTTGGAGATGCCCTAAGCTCTAACTTCTATACGAAATGTTTATTTCGTGTCAAAAGCAATAAACAATTGTAGTAATGATAATAACATGAATTCTCTTTATCATAGGACGCTCTTTGTTAGAATTTATTGCAAATAAGCATTAAAAAGATAATCAACCCCATCATGTAAGATGATCCTTATTAAATTCATGGAATAGAGCACCCTAAAAAATAAAAATAGGTTCCTATGAGTCATTAGCCAAATTGCAAAGTAAATAAGTGAGATTAAAATCATTTCATATTTGATTAATAATTCTATAGTTTTAAGAACCCTAATGTGAGAAGTTCACCCGAGTGACATCGATAGAGAAGGCTCAAGATTCAATTGTCAAACGGAGCTAATTAATGCAAACTCTTCAATATCAATTGACCTTTCTATTGGGATTGAAATGGCGGTGTTAACCTCAAAGGGGTACGTATCATAAGGGTTTCCTTCCTAATTCAATAAGGACCAAAATTTACTTACTGGGGCAAGCTAAAGTGATAGGGGCAACCTCTAAAGGGCGAAATGCTAGTCAAGTAATGCCTAGAGCTTTAGCAAGGGTGATTAGATAATGGGTTGTTGTAAGGCCGTATTGCTTAAATACCAAAACTTAATGCGAAAGCACAATTATCATCAAGAAAGATGAGCCACATTAAGCATAAAAGTGTTCAGACATAAACAACCTAGAGATTGCCGAGCTATATATGGTTCAAATTCAATCAAGCCTATAATAATATGAGAGGAGAAAATATGTAATCATCAATATTGATCCAGTAATGTATTTAACATAAATCAAGTATGAAGTGAATAAAATGAACTATTTTCATTAGACCATCTCCAACCGTTCGGCAAACAGCCAAATGGAGGCCCTCAAACGTCGCAATCGAACGCCATTTCTTTCGCCATTTGATCACAGTTGAACAGTGCAACGTCAATATTGGTGTCGCACTGTTCACTTGCGACATTTCTTTCTCTCTACCGAACTTGTCCGAGAAAGGCGCGAAAGAAAGGAACCATGATTTGGGGGCAAAATGGCGTTCCACTGGAGATGAATCATGGATTTTACTGCATTTTGCAGTGAAAAACGAGAGTTTCGGTTGGAGTGCCCTTAGAGCCATTAGCCATATGCAAAATCAAGGTAATTTTGATTGCAAGCTTTCCCTACTTTTCCCAAATATTATTATTGGGAGCTTTTATGCATGTTCAAATTATAATTATAAATAAATTTTTTTTTATAAGACATGAAACACTTAACAAGTATTATAGTATAATTTAATATAACAATTCAATATGAAAAACAATTGAAATTAATTAAATGAGGATTTTCTCTTTTTTTTTTTTTCCTTTATGCACCTTATTTTATTTTTTGCTATAGTGGAATTGCTTCATGAATATCATGGATATTTGAAGTTGCTTAATCAATTAATTTGTTTGTTTATTTATTTAATGAGGAGGGTGGGCTATGTTGATGAAATTACAAAATTTGAAAAGAGAAAAAATGATTAACGCCTTTGTTTATATATATTTAAAGAATGTGTGTCAATCTTAAAAGAGAAGAAAGAAGTTATCCACTTCTTCAATTTTCTAGAGCCAATCAATATAAACATAAAAAAGAACCTTTATACTATTCTCATTAAATGAATTGATAGAGATCCTAAATATAAAAATGTTGATTAAAAGAGAACCAAAAACTTCTTATATTATAGTAGGTAAGTGGTATAATGAAAAGATAAAGACATGCAAAATATAGAATCTGACTCATTCTGATATATTTATACTTGCAAATAGTTGATTTATCAGTTAACAGTTTAACACAACACTCAATAAAAATAAAAAATGAATGATGATTTATAAAAAATTTCCTAAATAATTGAGTTAAGACATTAAGATTTGTAAATACAAATTTCTTATCCAATAGTTTATGAGCAATGCATGCTTGAGGGATGCTTAGAGAGAAGATAAGAGCCATCAATTCAATATATTTTTAGGCTTCATTTGAGACGATTTTCTTATTATTCTTAAAGCAGTTTTTAGTACTAAAAAGCTGCTTTAAGAAGCAGTAAGAAAGTCGTCCCAAATAAAGTCTTAGTTAGAAGGGAGTCCAAGCCACTAAAAATAATCATGCCTCACACTAAAGGAAAACGAAAATGGGTTAGGCGGTTCAACGTGGTTTACAAAAAAGAGTGTAAATTTGACTATATTTAAGAGATTATAATGTTAGCTACTTCTCCTAGCTAGGAGGAGATGGAATAATGCCGCCTTCCTATAAAATCTCATCATCTCAATGGTTTTCCTAAACCCACAAAATATTTACTATCAGTGATGGACATACAAAAAGGGGAACTACTAGAGTGAGAGTGGTGAATAAGCGCATATCGACTACATCTAAGTGATCAATAAATTGACAGGACATATGCCGAGCCATTAACACACCAATTATTACATGTTGAACTTCCAATCATAAACTTGCTTGAAGAGATCAGGCAATCTTGTATTGTTATTAAAATGCACATGGTGGGAAGAATACAAGTAGCTAGGGAGACTAATGTAATATCTAACTAGATATCAAACCATATAAAAGGACAACTCAAGAGTAGTGGTTCTTGAAAACAAGGCAGCAAGAAGAATAGGCGATGGCTAAAGAGAAGAAGAGGAACGATGCGAAAGAGAGGAATTCATTCATTGTGTACAAAGTATTACATAGCAGGCAATATATAGATAGCAAAATACAAGCATAACGAATAAGAGATGGACACGTGTCCAATACAATCACGAAGGAATAAAGCTGACTCATCACGTATATCTTAACAGTTCTTAGGATTGACCAATTGATACACTTGCTAAGTAAACGAAATTGATTCAAGTAAACAAGGGTTGAGCAAACAAAGATTGGTTGATAGTTTAGTACTGAGTGGGCAAGGAGAGTTCAATAGGTTAATTAGTGCTATGCATATGATAATGAGCTGATAAACTTGGTGGAAGAAGGTGGGCTTGTAAGTGAGTGCCTGATGGACAAAGATGGGTCTTGAGATTCTCACAACTTTGACATAAGTTAGACAGGACTTGACATGGTCAGTTAGATGAATAGAGTTAGTTTTATCTATTCAACCTTGATTTGAAGCACTTTCATGAATGACTATGGCCAGTATAGAACATGAGGAGTTACAAATTCTTTTGTTTTCAAATCTATTTATTTGCATTTGCAATGAAAATCAAATGCATATTTCCTACACATTAGTGCCTCTTTACTTGTCATAATTGATAAATAAGAAGTAATATCTTAATTTAACTAACATTGGAGTTGCATGATGGAGCATAAGCATGTATCTTACTCTAAATGAACCAAGATGTTGGAGGAGAAAGAGAAAGAGCCCAAGATAATAAGTTTTCATGGCAAGATATTCTTAAGATAGTTTTTGTACACGTTGACATGGTGTTGATGGTAAGAGGATATTTATCTCTATACATTAGAGACCAACAATGGGTTGATATATCTTAATTTTCATATTTAGATGATTGCGAGGTGGAGGTAAGAGATTGAGGTCTCCACAACAATATATAAAATTTTAAGTGAACACCGGAAAAGATACATCAATGATATGACTCTGATTACACTATAGGAATTATGACTATTTTTCTATCAATTTCTTTAACAATTACAATACTTAGATCAATCCCAAAACCTCCAATTTCTTCTTCTCCCAGTCCTTTATATCCCCTCCTATGATTAATAAAGTGAGTAAATAGCTTTAGAGAATACTTGAGGGCATTTGAGTATGTTTCAAATATGCATGCAATTAATTTTCAGGTTTCATAAGAATTTGACACATACACTCAAATGTATAGTTCATTTTAAGTGTGAGTTGAGCCATTACAACAACAACAAGCCTTTGTCCCACTACGTGGGGTCGGCTACATGAATCATTTTTCTCCATTGTGTCATGTTAAAAGTCAAATACTCATTTAAATCTAATAAAGAAAGATCATTTCTAATATTTTATAACCAAATTTTTTTAGGTCTACATCTACATTTCTTAACATAAGTCAAATCTAATACCTCTACTTTCCTAACTGGGTCATCAGAAGGCCACCATTTTATGTGACTAAACCATCTAAGGCGACCCTCTCTAATTTTATCTTCCATTGGCGCTACTCCAACCGTTTCACGTATATGCTCATTTCTTATCCTATCTCTAAGGGTAAAGCCACTCATCCACCTGAGCATCCTCATCTCTGCAACACTTAACTTAGTATTATGCTTCTCTTTTAATGGCCAACATTCGACACCATAAAACTTTGCAGGTTAAAATATAAATACAACTGAATTTAAATTTAATATAATTTATCCATTAAATAAAAAGTTGACAAACATAATTTTAATTATTTAAATTAAATATTCTATCTTTAAATTGTAATTAAATTTTGAAAATA